AAGACTGAATGGGAAAAATAACATTTTAGAAAGGAAGGGAGCAAGAAACAGAGAGGAGTAAAGAGGAAGCAGTGGGGAGGGGAAGAGAAACATTTCTATCATGCAAACACTTTCCCTGGCAGGAACTAACAAGGAAACACTGAAGAAATTTAGGGGAAAATAAGATCCACAGCAGGAGTACAGGTTTCTAATATAGGTTCTACTACCCTAAAATATCTCCCTACACCTAAAAGAACTTGCTGGATTTTATTCTTTTCCTAAAGAACAGCTTAATTCTGATAATCAACATCCTATAGTCATAAATAATTTAAACCTGTCAGTCATTTATTTGCCACCTCTTTTCTTCTATTATGCTATTTTTAAATAAAAAATGAAATTAATTGTTACAAATCAATATTACATTAAATGTGATGAAACCAAAAATAAACAAATAAATAAATTCCTTTCTTTAAATCAATTTATTTACATAGGAGACTAAAGAAAAAGGGCAGAATGACTTGAAATAAAAAGAAATAACCATTAAATATGTTAATTATGGAATAATGGAGAGAAAACTGTATTATTTTGTTCTAGCTAGTCATGTCGACCATAAGGCCAATTTTTTCTCTATTAGAAAGAAAGCAAGCAGTATATACTTCAGGCTAGCACCAAATTGAGACTTTCTCTGTTAGAAGAAATAAAACGGCTGGCAGGTTAGCTCACTTGGGGGAGCAGGGTACTAGTAACTCAAAGGTCAGGGACTTGGATCTTTTTACCGGCCAGCCGCCAAAATAAAAACAGTGAAAGAAATTTTAAAAGGGAAAACTTCCTTGTTCTGTTAAAGCCATGTCAATGTTGACTTATTCTTTGCATATTAATTCAACAATTAAGGAATCAGAAATCAAATAAAATATTTTGAATAATAAGAACATCAAAAAAAGATTTGCAACACATACATGGTGAAATTAGAAAGGCTTTTCTAAAATGATAAAATAATAACTCTATTTTTTGCCCCAAACATTTAGCTATTTGTGCTCTACTCCTTCAGAAAATACTTTGCTTTCATAGTAAAAGTCTTCAGAATCAAGTAATTTGAGTAACATGCCCTTTATAGCAACATTCTGCAAATTCTACTATTTCCAAATAAAGTAGTGTGCAGTGTTTCAGGATCACAGTGTTTTACTATCTAAGTTTATTTCTTTTGACTTGTTTATCCAAGAGTTTCCAATGACCATAATAATTTCTAAAAGGGTAAAAGCATTTTTTTAGTGAAATGTGTAATTGTATGAATGTATGTAGACTGATAATTCTTGTAAGTGACAAGCAGAATTTTATATTCATTCACTATTATTAAGAGGGAAAAGTCACCCGTTGGTAAATAATTGTTATCAAGTGAGACGGTGGCATAAATACAGATGTTATAGAAAACAATTCATACTTCAATGACAAGTCTGTTGTTTCTTTTGAGGTTAGCATGATGAGAATGTTCTGAGTGCTCCAAAGGACTCCCCACTACCTCTTTTTTTACTTTTTTAAGAAAGTACAAACATCTACTAAAATTGTTTTTCAAATAAGACATTTATCCCTTTACTAATTGTTTAACTAAAGAAGAATTGCCTCATTCAGACACTCAAGAATGTCAATACTCCTGTTTATGTTAGAGAATCTTCTTTGTGGTCTACCTTTAGATCCAATCCGCAGGCTGTTCTCTAACAACAGGATCTAATTAGGCTTCCATGGCCCAGAAAGAGTGGATACGGACACCTAAAGTGCCTAATTTATTTTACACCATTATGCATTGCAGAAATCTGCCTTACTGTTTTATGTAACCATGGAACGGAAATACACAAACATTTTTTTAGTAAACTCTCTGGAAACAAAATTCTTCCCAGATATTTATTGATAGGAAAATATAATCTAACAATTCTTCTGCCCAGCAAGCTTCCCAGTCTTCTGTCTGTTCCGTGCAGTTGGATTCTTTTTGCTCTTCACTCACAAAAGACTCTCAAGCATTAAAGGCCACCTGATAGACACCAAAACAGTAATCTACAAGACCCAGGCAGAAGGCATCCTGTACCTTTGTCCTTATTTTTCTATTGGAAATATGCAATGAAGCTAAAACTTGTTTTAAAAAAAGATCTTCCCATTCTTTTTTCTCTTGGCTAATGTAGACAAGCTGTGTTATTTTTAAAAATCAGCATTAAATCTAAATGAAAGTAGAATAACATTTGTAAAAAGAAAAATTACTAGAGAACACAAAGGCTTCAAACTGAGCTATAATAATTCTTTGTCCAAAATCAAATCCCAAATTAAGAAAACAAACTCTAGGTCTGTTGTTTTAGCAACTAGTAAACTTGTTGTACACATTTCAGTTGGTATTTGGAAAACATTGAACTCTGCAGCTTTGCAGAAATTATGTTCCTATTTGAATATAGAGGAAGTTGTACTTATTAAGAGTTTAACCTGCAAGTTAGTAGTCACTAAAAGTTAATTAGTGTTTCAGATTTCATGTTCCGGGAAGATAAAATATCAAAGTCCTACAGAGATGTCTTATTTATATATACAGTATTCCAGAAATCAATGGGATACTCAAAAGATTAAACAGGAACATCCTTTACTTACGGAAAACAGGATAAAACAAATCTAAAATTAATTGTCATAGATTGTTTTGAATGAGAATGGAATGACGTCTTCTATCAGATCTAATCATGAATACAGAATTTTCAAGCATGTACATCATTTACCATTTATTTCTAATAGCCAGGCATTTCCAGACAAAAGTTAATTCTGGGAGTTCTTGCGTATAAAGAGAGGCTTTTGGCCAGAGGAGGTGCTATTTGAAACAGCCAGAAGATTAAACTGGCACCAATTACAAACAAGCTACTGTGCCTTAGTATTAAACTAAAAATTCCCTGGTTCATTTGTACAAGGCTTATTTTACACAGAATGTGAACAAAGAGACAAGTAATAAGTAAGGAAGAAAAATGAAGAAACTTTCATTAAATACCATGCAACTACCACTCCACAATGCTGATTATTGAATAACTTTAGCAGAAGACATTTTTTATCTGTTTCTTTAAACTTTTGTGGAGGTCCGTTCTGTGTATTGTCCAGGGTGGAGGGATAGGTGGAGGTTGAGGGTTGAGCAGGGAGGAGATGAAAAGATGTATTAATAAAAAGGGAGTAAGAGACAAGGAGTTATGCAAGGAATAGTTTATGAAACCACTCTATGCCACAGACAGAGTGGCTGGTACAGGAAACAGCAGGTCTTTCCAAATTCCTCAAGTTCTGTCCTTGCTGAGAGTAAACTAGCCTGGGATGGAGTGCTTAGAGGACCCAGTAAGCAACTGCCTGGCTTTTCCACTAAGTCCATGGACTTCTCGGTTAAGGTCACCTAAAACTTGCAAAAGCTATTCAGCTGCTGAAGATTGTCACAGATCACTGAATTTTATAGTCGTAAGATGGAATCTTATGGACCAAGAAGTCTCAAATATATGTTTTTCCAGTTATAATCATTTAAACAGTCCTAGCCTCTGTGATGAAATTGTCGGAGGCCAGGCAAGGTAGACAGGGCTTAGTAATTGCTTCCTTTTGGTCTCTTAATGGGGAATATTTTCAATTAATCAATGATAATGGGTTCTTCAGATAATTTTACAGGATAGACAAATATCCTTCAGCTTAATTTCAAAAAGCCCTGGAATTTCTGATAAATCAGTATCATAATCCTGAGATTTATCTTAAGCATGGGTTTGTAAATGAACAGCTGTAGCTTAATTTTTCCCATTCACATGATGCTATTTCAACAGTGTTTTATCCAGTGGCTCTCAGGCTGGGCAAGAAGGGGAAAGGCGATTTTGGCCCCCAGGGGACACTTGGAAATGTCTGGAAACATTTTTGATTGTCATGAAGGAGGAGTGTTATTGGCATCTAGAGGGTAGAGGCCAGGGTTATTGCTAAACATCCTGCAATGCACTGGGCAGACCCTCCCAACAAAGAATTATCTGGCCCAAAATGTCAATAGTCAGAGTCAAGGTTGAGAAACCCTGGTCTAATCCAAATACTTTAAATATTATTAAACCATATGGTGAGAGCATGAAGTTATTATTTCCACTAATAACCAATTAGCACAAAAGCAGTTTGAAAAATAGATCCTCACTAAAACTGTATGCAAGCTATACAGAAAAAACATGATACATTTGCAATTTGAAAAAATAAACTGAAGGGAAAAATATTAGAAATATTAGGTATTTTAATTCATAAGAGCATTCACATGTAATTTTCAATGAACCAGAAAAATAACTTTTTTTGGACACTGTCCTGAGAGAAACAAGGAATAAAATGGTTATAAACTATCCTACTCACAAATGCTCAAATATATTCCTCAAATATATTAATATACCACGTAAAAGTCATCCCTCTTGTCAGAAGCTTTTGTGTAGATAAAAGCCAGAAGATAAATGCACCAATATGGATTTATTGTAAAATGTTTCAGTTCCCACAGTCACAGGGCATTTTAAAAAAGAAAAGCTTATTGGAGAGTAACACTGTGGTCAGGGAGACACTCGCCCTTTTCTCTTTCCTGTAAATCTCCCCGTAAGTTAGTAAGGACAGGATACCATTTGCTGTGGGAATCACTCTTATTTAAGCCCCTTGAGAACAACAGTAGCTAACATTGTCTATGCATTATAGGATAAGCAAAATCATTTTTTATAGCACTCTCAAAAAATCTTGTGTGTTAAAATGGTGAAATGGACAAGAATTTCATGAAAATAAGAACCTCAAACAGACCCAATCCATGGGGGAGGGGGATGTTCAATAAAAATGTGTAAGTGAATGAACAAATGAATCTTCCTTTTTTAAGTTCTATACTGCATACCTGCACACAACAAATCTAGATGGGTTTCAGTTGGCTTAGGTTTTAGAGACACCTTTTTGTTAATGCCTATCATTTTACAATGAATCTATAATCTAAGCTATCCTATTAAAACCATAACAATTTCACTTTCTCTTTGTCCTCCTAGCTTAATTGCCTGAAAAATGAGTCAATTATTTGTGACAACACTTTCAAATGTCCTAATAATCCCACTGGAGATGTAAGTGTAATCAGAGGACAAAGAATTATAAGGGAAGACATCCTAACGCCAGATTTTCAGGCACTGCCTTAAGCCACTCTAGCACTCTGGAAATGACTTGCTCCTTTGGATGAAACCTCTTGAAAGCTGGGATTATCATTTTGAGGAAAATAAATTTTTACAAAATGTTATTTGGCCCTAAACTACCTTTTCTTTCCCACTTCCTATAATGGACAGTATGGATTCTTTTAAAGAGTTATGTGTTGTATTCATGTTGATAAACAGTTGTTGGGCACTAATTCTAGAAAAGTCTCAATTCTTAGAGTCAGCCTGCCTAGGTGAATTGAGGAGGTAGGAAAGTACAGAAAAAGCAACAAATAGAATGCCTAAGTTATCGCTTTGGTATTAACTGGACATAAATAAAATTGGAAAAGAAAAGAAAGAAAGAAGGAAATGGGCAAGCAGGACCCATCTGGGAGAAGAGGGGTACCATGGCCAGGAGCTTCAACCCATCCACACACACGCTGCAGTAGCAGTAGGTAAACTTTTTATTTAATCTATAAAAATATTGAATTTGGTTCCAAACCATTTTTCTTATTCAGATGTTATTCTTTTGTAATGTTTATTGTTTCAAAAATAGTCTTCTTTCAAAAGGAGTAATTCTTTAAATCCAGTTCACGTAAGGGGATTTGATATGTGCAGCAAGATATAAGTAGGCTGTGTTCAGCACTACTTAACTGCTTACCTACTATGCCTTAGGCTCTGAGCAAGCTGCACGCACCCCCTCAAGTCTAGGACCCATTATTTTGCTTTTGGCAAATTTCCACAAAGTCCCCTTCCTCCCAAAATACACGTCTTAGTCCGCCAGATCCTAACCCTTTATGAACGCGCAAACTCCTCCTTCTGAGTAAATGGTCAGCAGCCTTGTTCGTCTATTGGAGTGTGGCTTTAGTGTAGCTAGGGTTTTGTTTCCATAATTCCTTCAAGTTAATTACAGAAGCGACTGCATCTTAGAGGGTCCTGAAGTCTTTCAACAGCGTCTGATACAAAAGAAAATTGGGTTGTAGTGGGGGGGGGGGGGGACAATCAG